TTAACATGTTCTTAGCTTTTTTGGAAAGTTATAGGGCTATAAGTACAAAAAGCACTTTGCTATTTCCAAACCATTTTTTTTTTTTAAATTAACGCATTGTAACACTTAAACATTTGACTGGTTTCATGCAACCATTTTACCACCAATCAATGCCAAATGTAAAAAAAAAAAATAATTGGTGATTTTTTTTTGACACACATAGCAATTTAAAAATACATGTGAGGATAACTTTAAGGGTTAATGCCAAAGAACATCCCAATATGTGTTCAGCAACATCTCCTGAGTACAGTGATACCACCCATGTATTGGTGTGTTGGGTTGTCTGGGGGCTAAAAGATCTTATTTGGAGGAAGAGTATTCCCGTTTTCCAACTTGGAATTTTCACAGCTGGTCATCATGCACCCATGTTCTATTTGGGACATTTTTGAAACCGGCCAATGTAATTTACCCTCATCAAACCATATATTTTTTAAACATAGACACCCTAGGGTATTTCAAATGGTGGTATTTTAACACTTTCCATGCACTAATTCTACCACCAGTCTTTGTCAAAGTTTTGGGTAGTCATTTTTTTCGTCACAGACTTCAGTGACGAAAGACCCGCTGCCATTCACAGCTGCAGACCAGAAGAAGCCTCTGTACTCCCTTAATAGAGAGGGCAGTGGACCTCCCTCACAGCCAAACCCAAGGCATTATGACACAGGTCTTCCCTCATATCTGGGGCTGTGGAGGGGCCTCGATGCATCCTGATTGTGCAACACTATGAGATTATCCGACTTCACCGAACCAGGGCATTGGCTGACTCTAACGATACCAGGGACCCATAGCCCACTTCCTACAAGGACTAACGCCACTTAACAGCTCTTCTTAGCCCAGGCTGATGTCACCACTGACCATATTATCTATGCTGCTGTGGAATGTTTGAATTTATAATTTAGAATAGAAAGTGAAATGCAGTGCTAGGAAACTTGTTACCAAGGTCCTCTGTACTCTTGTAACGTTATCTTGCTAACAGCATCTACTATGTAAAAGTTGTAGGAAAACAGTCCTCTCTATTACGTTATTCTTGCCTATGGTAGCCTATTGTTAATGCTTAGACAGCTTTGACTGATAAGTCTCCTACTCTAAATTCTAAACTGTGTAGTCTCTGCGCAATGCTGACAAACTGTCATATTATGATGTTTCTTTTTTTTATTTCTTATTTCACAACTACTTATGTTTAAAACTAGTCTTCATGTCAGTATACATACAAAAAACGTGCATTGTGTTTCCATGCCATGCCTCACTAAATCGATGCTCATTATTATATCATGTGCATATGCTGTTGGGGCACTGCAAACGCGTATGTAACTGCTTTTACTTAATGCATGCAAAAATAAAGAATTTAAAAAAAATATATATATTCTCCAAACCAAATATATAGGCCAATATCTCTCTTGAATACTGATATTAAATTATTTGCATCTATTCTCACTGAGATATTAAAATAAGTGTTAAATGATCTAATACATCCGGATCAATTAGGCTTTGTCCCCAATAGATTCTCAGGTTTGAATATTAGACTATTGATTGATATACTCAACCTAGCGGAGAGACAAGGCACTCCCCTCCTGACCCTCTAGACTGATGCTTAAAAAAGTGTTCAATAGGGTCAAGTGGGGATTCATAAGGAAATCTTTGCATAGTTTTTTCAGGACTTTTTTCAGGACTTGAAAAAAGGTATTCAGGACTTGCTGCCCCAAGCAATTATGTCTATGTACCATACACCATCAACAAGAACAGTTGGTCATGGTATTCTTTCTGAATGGCTCCCTATAAAAAAAACAGTACAAGGCAGGATTGCCCAATCTTGCCCATTTTATTGATAGAACCAATTGCAATGAGAAACAGAAGTAATCAAAACATAAAAGGAGTTTGTATTAAACGAAAACCATTTAAAATCTGTTTATATGCAGATGATATCCTTATAACAATAAGAAACCCACAGGAATCATTACTAAATTTATTGGAAGAAATTCAGCAATTTAGTAACGTCTCCAATTACAAAGTTAATATAGAAAAATCTATGATTCTCCCTACAAAAATAGATCAAGATAAACTAAAAATATTAAAAAGCTTATATCATTTCAGTTGGGTCAAACATAGTTTTATATATTTGGGAGTTAAAATCACAAAAAAATAGATAGATTAATGGAAGTAAACTACATGGAAATGCTAAAATCAACTAACTATTCCAATTTAAAACTGGAGGAATGTTGAA